CCAGCGGGTGCGCACTCCGCGCCTAGGGGAGCGGGAGGAGAGGGCTGGTCCTGGCCTGGGCGCAGGGCAAGTACAGGGGAGCAGGGGCACGGGACCCTGTGCCCACACACAGGGCAGCTCTCCGGGGCCCACCCCTCACGCAACAAAACAGGCACTTCCCTCCACATTAGGCCTTGTGATCATATATTTTATTAGAAGAGGAACATTAACAGTTCCTCAAATTTTAAAAAAAAAGTACAAAACTACATACAAAAGGAGATCAGACGACTAAACTTTCCCGACTCAGGGCCAAGTTCTGCAAAGGAGAAAGAAAGAAAACGGTGTGAGCTTAGGGCTGGAGAGGGTCCAGGAAGGCAGGCCAGGGAAGGCTGTCCACTCACCTTCTTGAGCCTCCGCTCCCGTGAGGCCTGGGAGTCGGTCTCAGAGTAAGGGGGAGGCGCTGGGGGGTAGTAGGCGTCCTCGTCCTCTTCCTCCCGGTAAGGTCTCCTCTCCGCTGGCCCCTTTCTCCTCAAGGCCTCTTCCAGAAGCCGACCATCATATTGGGGGTCCGGGTCCCTTGACCTCTCGTTCCGAGCATCGCGAGCGCGGTGGGAGCGGTTCCTAGGGTCAGCACCAGGGCGGTCTCTAGACCTGAAGTCATCGAAGTGGGGTTCCTGGGAGTGTGGAAAGCCCCTTGGGTCCTCTTGGTCGTAGAGGTCATCACGGCTGCGGCTTCGGGGGTGTGCATAAGCTCGGCCTCTCTTCCCACTATTTGGGGGTGACCTCCTCCCTGATTCAGCAGAGCCTGGCCGCGTGAGGTCATCCAGAGCATCCACAGAGCGAGCCCGGGGACGCCCGGCCCCCCAGCCACTCCTGGGCCGTTCTGTGAGGGGCTCTTGCTCCCACCTCCTTGGACTCTGAGGGGAGTGGCGACCCCATTCCTCATCCAGGATTGGGGTGAGGGCAGGGCCGCGGGAAGGCCGCGATCTCCAGTCGTCTTCATGGAGGGAGGTGACTTCACTCATGGCTGTAGGGAAGGGACGTGTCACTGACTGCTGGGAGGTCAGGACCTAATGCCAGGAGCTCTATGGTCCAGCAGTGTCACCACTGCCTCATACACTCTCTACAGGGCCCGAGACTTCTCCCACCTGTTAAGGGATGACATGCAGTGTCCTATACAATTCTCACGGGCCATGGTAGGGAAGGAGGTACCCTGTCCAGGATTGGCAAGCGAGCATCCTTGGGACAGGTAATCTGGGAGATGTGTCCCACCCCCCACCTCTGCAACCCCTCAAACTCCAAGGTTCCTCACCCCTCTCTACACGGCTGTTGGGGGGGCCAGGTCGAGAAGGGTCAAAGTTGGCCAGTTCTTTCTCCATGTAGTACAGGACTCGCATAGAGTCATCCTGCTGGCTGGCCTGAATTCTGTAGCCACTACGGACTTCTGGAGACAGGAGATGGAGATGATGAGTTTGGGTGCTGACCCAGTCCCCCTCCCTTATAGGCATGTCCAACTGAGTAACACTTGATTCTTACCAGAGGTCACACTGCTGTCTGCATCACGAAGCAGGGGTACCTGGGAGCTACAGCCACCTACTGGGGGAGAATGGCTGTCAGTGGCTGCTCCCCTGGAGCCAAGTCCTGCATTCCCAGCCCCCTTCCCCTGCCCCCAGTCCTCTCTTCCTTCCAGCCCCATACCTCTTAGTGCCCAAATGCCCAGCCTATCCCTCCCCGAGTTGCTCCTGGCTCCCCAAGACCTCACCTGAGCTGTTCTTGTCAAAGTCTCCAGAGTATCCATTGTAAACGGTGCCCATAGGAATCATGGTTGCTGGGGGTGGGGTCTTGGCAGGAGAAAGGTAAGCATAGGTGCTAGGGGCGTAGATGCTCGGGACGCCTGAGGTGGCTGCTTTGCCAGCAGCATACACTGGTTAAGACACACAAAGCATGAGATGGTGGCCAGGAGCCATACTGCCCTTCCCTATGATAAAAGGACCAGAGGGACATGTGCCTCGACCTTTTCCCCATCCCGTTGTGGAGCCTCCCTGGGGACTTGGTTTCTGTAGGTCCATCATCAAGTCCACACCTCCTGTGATTCCTCACGGAGCTTTGAGGACAGGGACGTGCACTGCAGCCCCAATCTGCCAGGACATGTTTTCTTTAGCAGTGATGGTTACCAACATTTGTCGAGGTTTTACATAAAATCCCAACTCTCTAGCCACCTTATCAGAAGAAGTGGCCACCTGGGGCCTGCATTCACAGAGCAAAGGGAGAAGATGCCCCTTTAGATAAACCCATGTGCTGGACCCACAGGTCAAAACAATGCAGTTGGCAGCTGAGTCTCAGCTTTAGAAAACAAATCATCTCGGGGCAGGGGAATCCCATGCCTGCCCCCCTCAGGCCTGCTGGATCCCCGCCATGGCATCTTCCAGAACTCGAGGTCATGCGGAGTCTCCTAGTGTTTTCAACTTCTGGGCTGTACCCACTTACTCTGCCTTCACCCCCTGCTGGTTCTAGGCTTGACAGTTCGAGGGCAAATCCTCCCTGCTGCCCTCCTCTCCAGGCCAGAGGCTGGGTCCTGGTGGCTGCTCCTGCAGCACAGTCACTGTGCCTCGGCAAACTGTTTCTCCCCTGGGCTTCTTAACAGGAAAATGGGAGTGGGGGTGGGGGTAGGAGGAATAGGGCGTGGAGACAGGCTCAGAAAGGTCCCTTCACTGCTGATTCAGTGGGGAAGCAAAAGGCTCAGTGGTCCCCCCAGAAGCTCAGGTGACTGGCTGATTTCTAATTTGCTGTGGGATTTGCTTTCAGATGCCCCAGGGGGGCTGTGGCTGTCACTGTAGCTGTGGAGGAATGCAGCCTCTGGTAGGGAATTAATGGGGCCTCAGTTTGGGATAACAGAGATTCAGAATGGAGAGAATTTGCAGTCCTGGCCCCGGCCTTAACCTAATTTGTGGGGTAACTGCAAATTCGGTTATAGCCCTTGGGAGTCCCTTTCCACCTGTGAAACGGACTAACATCCACCAGGTAAGCCAGAAGCTCCCAACTAAAAATGACAAGAAAGGTGATAGCTTAAGACCCCAAACAGCAGCAAATTTTTTTCAGGGAATGGTATTTTGAGGAACCAGTTTGCCCACCACTGAGCCCAGTGACCATAGAATTAGCCAGCATGGAGTGAGTCACCGCCCTGTGCTAGGGACGCTCACAGTCTTCCCTTAATGCTCACGACACCGCCTGAGGTAGGAGAAACCGGCTCAGAGAGGGAACACTGCTCTGAGGTGTGAGTGGCAGGGCTCTGATTTGCTCTCTGGCCCTCGGTCACTGCCGATGCTGACAGCAGCAATGTCCAGTGGCTAGTGAGTGTGGAACACTTCATGTCGGCCGAACCCTGCAGTAAATGCTGGACACACCAGTTTCCCACACTCACCCGATACAGAGGCTCTGCCATAGTCCCATTTCACAGAAGAGGAGACTAAATGAGGGGGATTTACTGGGCTTCCAAACAGGTAAGGAGGCAGGCCAGGCCTCAAACCTCCACCTTAAAAAATCGCTTGTGATTCAACTTTTAACGCAGCTTGGACTGTGTTATACTGAAATCATGTGTATGAGCTTTAAATCTAAGTACACAGACATACACCCATCTGGAGTACATGCGTCATTCTTTCCATCACTTGTTCACTACTGGCCTAGAAATGGGCAGATGCCATGAGAGGAGCAGGTCTGTCCCTCTTTTGGTCTCATGTTCTAGGAGCTCCTCATGTGTAAAGTTATGTTTCTAGCTGTCAAGGCCATCTGTTCATCAACCAAAGATACAGTGACCTTCACACTGATAAAGGAAAAGGTGGGAGTGTTG